GCGTTTCTGCTTTGTAATAGGGGCTTAGCATTTCTAAGCAAAAGACGATGGTCTTGATCCAACACAGTTGATTTATCATCAACACCAGCCTCCTCACAACTAGATAAGTCAGAGCTATCCAAGGTGGAATTTTGGATTTTTGTACAATCATTAGTATCCTGTAAATATATAATATGATTAATTWATTTAGTTCATTAAACATTTTTATATTATTCTTACATTTTTATTTGGATTAACAAATTGAGTACGTCCATATCTAGTTAACATGTTTACAATAATCACTTGTCCCCATTCATCAATATCGACCAACAGATTGCAAAGTTTTCTATATATTTTGTGAATAAGATCAATTCTCTCTGGACAAACCTAGATAATTATTTATAATAACATTTTGTTCCATATTTTATTTATTATAAATGTAATAATATAAAACATAACTAAATTTAGTTCTCGTTGAAATGAATAATTTCCATCTAAAAGGTGAAATAACATTATATTGTACAAAAWCTTAATAAAGTACCTCTTCAAATGCCATAACTGTTGATCCAACTACAAGTGTTGATTTATCTGCTAATAATTTTTCAATTACTGTAATAAGCTCTTCTTTCTGATCAGGGTCCAAACTAAAAAAAAATAAAATAAATAAACAACAATTTTAAAATTATTTTTATTTTTTTGTTTAAATTAATTTAAAGCAATCTACAGTCAAGTCAATCCYATTTATGATTCTGACATTTGGTACATAAGTAGGTACCCTATATCCAAGAATGAGCCCCAGGAAGCCTTTTTTTAATTTTGCATTTTWAAGAGGGGCACATGTTTATTAAAATTATTTATAATTTTAGACCTGTATTTTATATTTGGTCAAAGCAACTCAAATAACTGTGTTAAAAATCTGTCCATTTTACATTTAAAGGAGTTTAAAAAAGGGTAAATCATTTAATTCATCGTAGGCAGCAATATGTATGATCAGCGGGTAAATAATTAAAGGGAAATATGTAACAATACCAATTGTTCAAAATAAAAGATGTCAATTATTACCWATATAATTTGGGAATAGCATGAGCGGCAGTCTTACGGACATATGGTGACATGTCAGCAGCAGAATCTTTAATGGCTAACATGACAATAGGAACAATCATCACAACTCTTATACTCGACAATACTCTCAGAGCAGATGCTCGTATTAGTTGATTTGGATCCTAAAATTAAAAATTAAAATATACATCACTCGCTATTTTAAAATAGCTTATATTATTTTCATTTAAAATATACTACCTTTAATGCTCTCTGGAATGTAGATATGGATAAAAGTGCTAAATCTTGTTGTTGTTCAGCATAACGAACCAAGTAAACATACACTAGTTTTTTTACTTCAATATTTTTAGAGACTACATTTTTAACAACAGCTGGAAACAGTTCAGACGCATCTCTTCCTTTGGCAATCATCTAAAATTTGAAAAATTTGAAAAGAATAATTTCATCAAACATTTTGATATTTCAATTCGTCCAGTAATAAATTTTATTTTTATATTACACCAATAATTCTTTTCATAGCTTCCAACTTTGGTCCATCCTTTGCAGAATCTAACATTTGTTTCAAATCGTCATGCCTGGCAACAATATTATTACTTAAATGTGTATATTTTTTATATAATAAATAATTATTTATTTCTTTAAAATATAATTAATATAACTAATATACCTAATGCAAGAATTTGAATGTTATAGCTCTTTATTTTWAATTTATTGATAGATAATTAACATTTAAGAAATTGCATGTCAATTGCAGCGGCGTAAATCTAGGGGGACAGGGGGGGGCAACTGTCCCCCTTCATTTGGTAGGTAGGTGGTCAATTGATTGATACTCGATGGTCAATTTTCAGACATTACAATAAGCATACATCAATACACTTATATTATATTATATTTTTATTTGATACATTTTAATATTATTATTTATATGTAAATGAGCACAGTGAAATTGTTTTTTTAATAGGTGGGTATTGAATACTTTTGTTTTGCCCCCC